AGAAGAAGAAAGAAAAAAAGAAAGAAGAAAATTGTAGAGGTTAGAAACCGGAGAGAAATCAGATCTAAGATCTATGTTTCTATTGTCGTTGCAATTGTCGTCGCCGTCATCATCTCCATCATCATCATCAGTGAAAGTCGAATCCTCCTCCTCCTCTTCCTTTTTCTTCCCTCCTCCTTTTTCCCTCCTTCCCTCCTTCATTTCCTTTCTCTCATTCCATTCCTTTTTTTTTTTTTTTTTTTCTTCTTTCTTTCTTTCTTTCTTTGTCAGCAGACAACCACAACCTCTTTCTCATAAAAACTCAAAGTCTAAAAAGATCAATACCAACATTTGCCTTATAATATAAACCATTCAATGGTCGAACCACTGACCCAGAAATTGGTGGCCACAGTGGTTCCATTTCTGGGTCGGTTTTTAAAACCTTGTAAAACCAAAGTATACCCAATTATTGATTTTCTTTTACATGGATTATTGGAGTTGCTTCTCTCTCTTCCAAAGTCTGGTTTGCCCTAGCAAACGTGAAGATCCCTTCTACTTTCATCATCCTCCTCTAGAAACTATCACCTACGACAATGAAATCAGAAAATAAAAATCTAAGCATTCTGACCCATAGGTGTTAGCTCCCACATCCAATGAATTAGTACAAAAACAAAAAGAGAAAATAATCCATAAATAGCCTTTAAAACTTCAAGCTACAAGAAAGACCAAGTTGATCAAATTGTTGCTTTGGTTGAGGCCGAACAAAAGAGGTTGTGCAGTTTTCTTCGTACCCCCCATTCATTCTCTTATCTCTATAACAGAAAATTCAAGATAGGGACTGTGGGTCCCACTCTATGTGTTAGTCTATTTGTAATATTTGCAGATCATGTAAGTTCCATTGGTTTTCCGAACTCGAATTCTACCCAAGGTTTAAAGTATCCGAAACGCCAAGTGTATCGGAAAAGCAATTTTAAGAGACATATTGGGATACACTTTGGATACGCATGCATATTGCAAAAAAACTAAGATACAATAGATACACTTGGAAACACTATAGATACTTTAATAAATCATAAAATACATCAACAATACTAAATATAAGACCTCAATGTGGTGTATATACATTAAATTAATATATTTTAATTGTTTTATGAAGAAATATATTGTAGTTAATTATAATTTCATTAAAATCCTATGCCTAACTATAATTTATAAATTATAACTCTCAAGTTTTAATGTTTTATGGGATGGGAAAAAATCAACTCTCTTATCCAACCATAAAACATGAATTGTCACAACTTCTATGTGAAAATATAATTAATAATCAGTTATTATTTAAGTAATTATTATTTATTATTCATTTCCAAAAGTTATAAAAAATAAATAAGCATTATATAATATATTTAAAAATAGTTATTAAAGAAGAAATTTCAATTGCTTTGTGGATATGATAGATCATCCATAGAATTATATTTATTTATTTTTTAATTCAAAAAATAAAAAAAAATATTAAAGAATTGGTTTGTGGATATGATAAATCATTAGAATTATAATGTATTCAATTGTTGTGATCAAATGATAAAATATAATTAATTATTATTTATTTTTTAATTCTAAAAAATATAAAAAATCAAAAAAATATTAAAGAAGAAATTTCAACTGCTCTATGGATACGGTAGATAAATCCATAGATCTAAAACATATTTAGTCTTTATAGACAGAGAAAAATTACATTTTCAAATTTTTTGTTAATTTATATTTTCCCCAAATATCTCCATGAAATTTCCATAAATCTACTGATAACACAAAAAAAAAAAATTATTATTTTGAATGTAAGAAATGTAGATCAACATAAATTTAGACAATTAAGAAGAAAAAGAAATCACAAGATATTATAAAAAATTGAAAAAAAAAACCATTTTTGTCATATTTTTTCAAAATTTGAAAAATATTTAAAACAAATTAACGATTCACACTTGTTTCTTGCAAACTTTTGCAAATCTAACACTCTAGGAATGAAGTTTGTTGTTTTAGAATCATTTGAGGGTTAAAAAAGGCTTATTTCGGGAGAAGAAGCTTGCTTTCCCTCTTTAATTTTTTTTTATTTTTGGTTGTATCTTTTTCGTCAATACGCTACCGATATGCCCCAATACACCCCCATACGCCCTCGATGCGCCCCCCAATACAAGTCTGATATGCATGAAAAAAGATGAAACGTCTGATTTCCATGCGTACCCCGTATCTATTTTTCAAAGATACATTACAATACACCCCATATCAGATATATCGTATCGAAATTTTAAACCTTGATTCTACCAATAAAAGTCAAATAGGGATTTGTGTGAGGTGCACTCTGTGAGAAGCAGATCCAGACTCATAAAAATTGATTCGAAAGCTAGGGTGGAAAATCGGGTGGGTTGGGCCAGGTTTAAGCTCAACCCAGGCCCAATCCTAGAAATTGGACTTATGGTTTGAGTCAGCCAAGCCCAAGATTGAGTCCAATCTATCTAACTCGGTCTCAGACCTGATCTGCACTAAAATTTATATATATTGGGCTAAGCTCAGACTATATAGCCCAAAAAATATAAAAGCCCAAAATTTTGGATCCAAGGCCAATAGCAAAATAAGATAGCCAATCTGGGTCGAATCATACTATACTAAAATATTGGAAATTAGATTAGGCCCGGTCCATAGGGGTCGTTACTCTTTTTTAAGTGAACATTAAAACATCATATTAACGACCTCAAGTAATCACACAATTATTTTTCTTACAAAGATAATAATAGCGAGATTCGAAACTGCACCACTATTGGAACAATTCACAAGTGTGCCAAGTGCACAAACTGAGTTACCCCTCTGTTGGCTCTATGTGTTTGAATTAAGTTACTACAAAGAAGTGGCTCATGTTGAGCATTCATGTTTTAGATAAGTAACTCCGGGTAGCTTTATATTTTAATTGCCCAAATGACATTTTGAACTATAGTGATTTGGGCTTTCTAATTTTTTTTACCAAATACAGCTTTTAGCATTTTCATATAGAGTGCAGATCTCCTACACATCCCAATCTACACATTTTTCTATACATCCTATCATAATGTGCCAGATCAGCATCACACAATTAAATTCCTATAACTAGTTAACGGATGTGAGAAGAGCATCCATTTGTATTATTTCCTTAGTTTTAAATATTAAAATACATTAAAAAATTAGAAAACCCTCTTCTTCTTCAAGGGATTTACCGCCATGAAGCCAAATCTATGTAAAAATTTTTAGCCCATATTCTCTTTTTTTTTGTTGTTTTTTATGTGAGAAGGCTTTTGCAAAAAGGAATGGTTGAAAGTGTAAAATATGGAATGGAAAGAAAGAGATGCCTACAGTCTACTCAAGACACAACAACGATGACTTAGACAAGTTTGGGAGCTCATCTTTTCCATCGTTCTAGAGCACTGCAAGCACTTTGAAAAATAGCCTTGGCCAAATATAGAAGCTCCGACTAGACCCAAACCAAGCATAAAGTTAAATCACATGATGGGAGGCTCTCTTTGTTGTGGTTGCTTAGAAAGTTCAGGCTCGACTTTGTTTCCACTAGAGGAGACACCTTGTTTCAAGGTATTTTGCACAGAAAGGTATCAGTGATCTCATTGCTTTTCTTGTTGTAGAGGGAAATGGAGAAAGGAAACCTGCAATGATGTAAATAAACAACAAATTTTGTTGTTTGCCTTTTGTTGCATATTAGAAACCGACTTTACTTTGTTTCTCTCATGTAAAAAGAGAGCTTAGAGAAATCGTCCTTAACCATTGATGATGGAGAAAAGGTTTTTTTCTTTTTTTTTGTTTTAATATTTTTAATATTTAAAAATAAAAAAGCAAAGAAACGGAAGTTCTCCCAACATCCGTTAATCACTTCGCACATGTAGGAATTTAATAGTATGAGGCTGACCTGGCACATTATGATAGGATGTGCAGGAAAATGTGCAAATCGGGATGTGTAGGAAATCCAGACTCTTCCATGTAAGGCATAGCTCAGAATGCTAGAAGCAGTGCTTCGAGAGCCTTTCCAAAGCCCCATTCTCTTTTTGGTAAGTTACTTACTTGGGTAAATACAGTTACCTGGGTAAGTTTTTCCTGGGAAACACTTAGCGGGGCAAGTGCATTTACCCATGTTCTTTTATTTCTCATGTAAATAAGGAATGATCATTTTAGCCATAAAAATCAATTATTAAAAAGAGAATTTTTGTCCCATTCAAGTGTTGGCAACTTTCCCCCTAGGTGGGAAAGTTATTTACCCACCTAGGAGATGGGTATCACTTACCTACCCAGGAAAATAAACTTTAGCTGATCCCCACATAAATCTAAAAAAAGAACATGAGGTTCTTGTTTAATGGGAACCAAAATCTCATTGACCAACTTCCCCCCCTCCCAAAATCCATAAAAAGAATGCCCCCCAAATGGGCACTAAGCTCTTAACAAAAAAAAAAAAAGCACTAATCCTTCTTCCAACTACATTCTATTCAATACCACCCTATAATCCCATATGGCCTGTTAAATCAACAACTAACCCGATTTTGGGCTTTACCTTAGAATTGGATTGGATTTGGATCGGATCCAACTCAAATCATATTAGAATCCAATTCGATTAGTAAAGAGTAAAGACAAATGAATCCGATCATAACTATAAACGGATGAAGTAGTCTCATATTGTATTTGGATGATAGTTGCAAGATCCGAGTCCGACCCGATTAAATAAAGAGAACGGATCATGATCGAATATGATAATCGATGTGATGCTGGACTCCGTTCACGGTTCATCCCGACAAAGGGAGACCCACTGTATAAAATCTTCCATCGTCTTAATGATCAAAAATGAAGCAAGAAATAGAAAATTCCAATCCAATGGGTTCCGGAGAGCTTGTGTTATCCTTTTAAGAAAGAAATTCTCAACGGCCCTATAAACCCTAAACCCCGAAAACTACTTTCCTTCACTGCACCCACATTCTCACTTTCTCTTCTGACGAGACATCATGTCTTCTTTAGCTCGCCTTCTCCATCGTAAGTTCTTCACTTCTTCCCCTGCAACCATCCCAAGCACTGCTACAACTTTCAAGACAACCGTTGATGGCCTATTCCATGAACGAGACCTCAAAAAGCTCGTCGAAAAGTTCAAATCTTGCTCCGATAACTATAGATTTCGCTGCAAGCACCGCATCTATGAAACTACGGTCCGTCGCCTTGCCGGGGCCAAGAAATTTTCATGGGTAGAAGAGATCCTCGAACACCAGAAGAAGTATGCCGACATCTCCAAAGAGGGTTTTGCGGTCCGGCTTATTTCTCTCTATGGCCAATCCGGCATGTCCGAGCATGCCTGCAGGATGTTCGATCAATTACCTGAATTAAAATGCACACGCACGGTGAAATCCTTCAACGCCCTCCTCTCGGCTTGTGCCGATTCTAGGAATTTCGATAAGGTTGATCAGATTTTCCGTGAACTTCCGTCGAGATTGTCGATAACCCCGGATCTTTTCTCCTATAATATTATGGTCCGGGCTCTATGTGACAGGGGGTCGTTGGATTCTGCGCTTTCATTTCTAGATGAGATGGAAAAGAATGGTGTTAGCCCGAACCTGATTACTTTCAACACGCTTCTGAATGCGTTCTACGGGGATAACCGGTTTTCTGATGGTGAGGAGATTTGGGCTAGAATGGAAAAGAGCAATTGTATTCCAGATGTCCAAAGTTTTAATGCTAAGATGCGGGGCCTTGTTCTTCTAGGAAAAACATCGGAGGCAGTTAAGTTGTTTGATGAGTTGAAGACTAGGGGAGTGAAACCTGATATCTTTAGTTTCAATGCTTTAATTAAAGGGTTTTGTAATGAAGGGAATTTAGAAGAAGCCAAGAAAATTTACAGTGAATTGGAGAAAAATGATTGCACCCCGAACCGACCAACTTATGAAACACTCGTTCCTTGCCTTTGTGAAAAAGAAGATTTTGGTCTAGCCTTTAAGCTCTGCAAGGAAAGTCTTAACCGATGCCGTGTGGATGCTGGTCTGTTGCAAGTTGTGGTAGATGGATTGGTCAAAGAGTCAAAGGTTGAGGATGCAAAGAAACTTGTGGAGCTTGGGAGGTCCAAGAGTTACTCTCGCTCTAGTCTGAAAATGCCTGTCTAATGCACCTTGAAATTGTTCGGTGCATATTTGATTGTGTAAGTTCAGTCCTTTTTTTTTTATTGATGTAAGTTCATCCAAATTAGATGTTTCTAGTTCGTGATTATATTCTAATTCCTATTTAGCAAGAGCCACCTGTAAAAGTTTGTCTTTTTAAGCATGACACTTTTACCTGATCGAATGACAATCAGTATATTTTCATTGTACTAGGAAAAAAAAGTAGGTGACAGTATGGCTAGCCATTTTCTATGATCAAATTGGTTGATATGCTTAATTTTCTTTTTTAGTATGTTGAACTTAACAGAAAGGATTTGCTGACATTAGATACTATAAGTTCAGAACATCTGTTGGATTCTCTCTCTCTCTCTCTCTTTTTTTCGAGTATCGAGTTGTTTATGGGCATTATAAGAGAGGTGTTGAAACAGGGCAACTATTTGAGACCACAGAAACAGAGTGCAGAGGGGAAATATTGCAGCCGCTTGTTGTGCGAGTAATCCAAATTTTGATGTATGCATGGTACAAGTTATAGTGATTGCGCTTTTTATGTTCTCATTTCTCATTCATCATATTTATATACTGGTATTAGTATTTTCTACCATGCAGAAAAGAAAGGTTCAGTTTGGGTAGGATGACAGGACTCAGGAGTGGCATATCAGATGTCATCACCTCTCAGGTGTAATTAATATTATCTACTGAAGATGCTACTTGATCTTCTATATACCCCGGGAGAAAAAGATATGGCTACTAAACAAAAAGGCTATAGTTGGAATTGAATGTTATGGTTGGAAAATTCATGGGGACCTAGAGCAATGTAAACATCTGCATATCTGATGAGATGGATCTCCTTGAAGGAACTCATTTGGGTCCTCCCTTTGCATCCCAGCCAGATGCTACATTTTAAATGTGTCAAACCAAGGATTTAAATATCTTCACGATCTTATCGGTATCGGTCATGGGGATACGGGAAATGCTACCACTAAGCCTGTATCCCACCCAATGCATAAGACTTATACGCGGTAAGCCACTGAGACAATAGTTATCGTATGATAATAATTAATAGGTAAAATAAAATAAACCTTTATCAGTTTTAATACATATATTTATGTTTAACAATTCCAAGTAAAGATTAAAAAATATTATTCAAAATTAATATTTTGTAAATTAATGGAGTAAATAATTTCTTAAATTCACATTTATATTAAAGTGGTTTTTAATTTTAAAAAATTTATTACAAATAAAAATTTAATAATAGAATAACTATTTTAGTACTTAAAATTTATAAATTTGAGCGTGGCATGTATCTTAAATTTTTTATAAATTATTAATTTGCATTAAATAAAAATTATTTATTATTTACAAAAATAAAAATATTATTTACAAAATAATTGAGAATATAATATAAATTGAATTTGCCAAATCCACTAATCTACTTTTATATCAAAAATGATTTTTTATTTCATAAAATTATAATAATGAAATAATAATTTTAGTAACTAAAAATTAAGTTAAGGTTATATGTTTTTATAAATTATTAATTGATATTTTAATTACATTTTATAATAGTATTTTTATTGTTTACAAAAATAAAAATATTGTTTACCAAACATTTGAGAATTAATTTTAAGTTGATTTTTTATTAATGTTAAAAATTAAAAATAGAAAAATAAAAAATAATTGATATAATAATTACATATAATAGTTACATGTATTTTGTGACATGAACTTCAATAGAAATTAAATGATAGCTTTGCACATGTATTAATTTGTGAAAATTTATATAATATGTTTTAGGACTTTGGATTGATACATTATCAATAAAATTGTATGATTTCTATGCATCCCGTTATTTTAATTGTAATATATTTATTCACAAATACCATTAGAAATAATTTTCTATATTTATACATTAATTTTGACTATTTTTACCTTAAATGTAATGTTATTAATTTACTTATGGAATTTATACACATTTCCCAACATATCCAAGTGTCTCCATGTTTTTTTTGTCTATATATATACATTTCCAAAGCGTATCTATATCCATATCTGAATGGCACAATATGATACCCAATACCAATAGTTTAATCCTTGTGTAGAACTAATTGATTCATTGTTGACTTATGTGATTTAATGAGTGTGGCATTTTCATTGAATATTTCTAGGTTCTAGAAACTCGATATACGAGTTGTTCATTAGTTGTTTCCATTATTTCTTCTCTTAACGTTCGATTTTGATTCTAGAACAGATACTACATTTAATGCATGCACTACTTCATAAACCATATGGCGTCTCTTTGTGGCAATTACAATAGTGGATATGATTAGGGGTGTCAATAGGACTTGATTTGGTATAATCCAATCCAGTCCAATGCGAGTCTATTGCAAATGGACCGGGTCCAATCCAATGAATATTTTGGACCAGTCCAATTCTATGTTTGGACCATCTAATATATTCAAATTTGTTTTAGTTTTAGATTAATTTTAACCCAAACTTGGTCCATTGACACCTATATTCTTATCTTCTATCAATGAACCAAATATTGGCTCAATCCAATATAAATTCATTACGGATGGACTTGTTGATCCATCCAATCCGTTCAAATTGATTTTGGTTTGGATGGGGTCCACTCCAAAACCGGTCCATTGACATCCCTAGATATGATCCTCTTGTCTTGTATAACATGTCACATTTATATTTTATAAACGGGTCTTGTGGATATTTTATGTCATACAACATGCGATTAATATTAATGAACAAGAACTCCCCAGACAGCCGATATTTAATTAATTCTTTAACTTGTTTCTTCAACTCTTGTCTTCTTTAAACTCCAAACCCTAACCCACTAAGTAGGGTTGGTTGATTGCAAGTGTCTTTTATCACACCTTCAAACTTAACGGAATTCTTGAATTTATGCATGTTTCTTTGTTTCCACATGTTCAAGACTATATAGTCCATTTTCTCTCTCATCTTTAGCATTTTTGGGCCTAGACATTCTTGAGATCCATGAAGCAATGCTATCATCTATGTTAGGCCCAATTGGGTGTTGGACTATCAAATTCCAGACTTGCTTTGTCATTCTGCAATTTATAACTGGATGAACTTTCGGTTCATTTTCTTTGTTGCACAAAGCCAGAAGACCAGAGCTAGGGGGAAGTGGAGTTGGGGCTAACTGCAAACCCGCATGCCCCTAATTTGCTGCAGCTAACTCCCTTTGATTCAAGTAGAGCAGTGGGCTTCACTCCTTAAAAAGAGGCAGTTATGGCCTGGACAAAGTTGAGAAAATCTACGTGTTTGGAAAGAGGGGCTCGATCTCTTGTTGGTGGCCGATGGTGAATGCAATTCTAAACTCTTTAAGCTTCAACGGCTGGATAGTCATCTAGGGTCAACCCTTTCACCTGTGGAAAGAGGAGGTTTTCGTTTTAATCGGGAGACTATGTGGGGGACTTGAAGAGATCAACGTAAAAATGAAGCACTTCTAGGAGCTGCGTTTCGCTAGAATAAGGGTAAGAAACAGGGGGATTCATTCCATACCTCACTCAATCCCTCTACTTGATAGGAATGTTTGGTTCTTCTTGGTTGTCGGTGTGGAGAAGACGAACGAGTCACAACTGCAAACCACTGAGTTAACTTTGCCCAAATGGCTCTCAACACGTGGATGGAGCTTCGAGAGTGGCAGATGTGACATTTGCAGTGTAGAGGAGTTTGTGCAAGGTCTAAGCATCCAAAAGCGAGTCTCTTTAAAAAACCTTATAAAGAAAGAAAAAGTTTAAAGAGCAGAAACTTGTACGGAAGAGACGATCAGAACGAATGGCCTAATAGCAATAATTGATAAAGAAGAAAAAGGGAAAGACTTCTAAATTTTAAGAAAGAGTGGGCTAAAAACAAAATGCTCACTGGATCGGTTCTAGGAAAGACCAAAATCTTGAACCGACCTAGTGGGCCAACCCGAATCTGTTTTGAGAACCCTTTACGGTTTGGAAAATTGGACCAAATTAGGACCAAAGCCCTCAAGGTCTCTCCAGCTTTTGGAGCGAACAATTCTAACATCCCTGAACACCCACTTTCGAAAGTGAAGAAATTGTCAAAAGGAAAAGGAAGAGAAGTGAATAGGCCTATAATTCCTTGTTCGGTGCATCCTACGAAAGAGGAAGAGTTTTCTAAGTCCAATACAGAGCTAAGCTCTTACTTCTCTGAGGAAGTCTCTGACGCCCAAGAAGATCAAAGCTCATTTTTTAAGGGAGAGAAGATTGGGGAAGTGTTGAAATTCTACAAACTGATGTAGTTAGTGAAGCTAGATAATGGAGATGGAACCGAACTAGGGCATCTGCAAAAGGGACGATGTTGTATACCTCTGGCTGTCTCTAACTACCTCAACCTAGGCCATACCTTACCTTCCTCTTCTAACCTTGATTACAATTTTTTAAATTCTTCGATTGTTTCCCCTATTTCTCATATAGAGTCCTCTATTCTTCCAGGTTCAAGTGCCTTGCTTTTCCAATCGATGGCAAAGTCCTTCTCACACTTTGGTCACAAGGATGGCGGTCCACATAGGCAAAGTTGTGAAGAGTTACTAGTGAAATAAAAAGAAGCCAGCACTTGAACTTTGGGAATAAAGGAGTTGGCTAGTAATCTAGGGATGGAAGAATTGAATGAAGTAACGGAAACTAGACGAGAAGGAGCTACCAAAAGCAACAAAAGCAAGAGTACTCCGACCAAGACAGGAATGAGGAAGAAAAAAGGGACGAACAGGGAACTGAAAAGACTTCATCAGGGATCGATAAATCAGAAGGTGATTTCACCCCCACCAAATAGAGTTGGTAAGGGAAAGAATGTAAAGAAACCCTAAAGAGGGAAAATCCAGCTAACATCATCCTTCAAGAAACTAAGAAGCATATGGTGGACAGGAAATTAATAAAAGATGTTTGGGATTTAAGAGATAAGAAATGGACAGCCTTGCTAATGCTGGCTATTAGAACAGTAGGAGGAATAATTATTGCCTGAAG